GCAAAAACTGAAAAAGTGTATTTGATTTTCGTTAACTTTATTTCCTTGAAAATAGCTGCCGTTGTTGTGGAATAGAACATTCAAAACAGGCTCATTAAAACACAAACGCACACACACACACGAGATGAAATGTGCGTAGAATAGATCTTTACTAAATACACCTGGATCATAAAGCCTGTGAAAAGCACACACAAGATAAAATGCACTTAAAGAACGCTTGGTTTATTAACTGACGTCAATGAAAGAAACACACTTTCTAGTGTTAAGTTAAAATAGACCATAACTGCGGGGAACTGTGGTCTATTAAAACGTCTCTTGATGTTTACTGGATTTTAGAATTTACTTTAAGAAACATTAGCTTGGACAAAGTGTCAGGCTTCAGACTCATTCGGTGTGCCTGGGAAAGCAATCCAGCGGCAGAAAACACTCGCTCAGCGCTGGAAGAACCACTGGGGATGCTAAAGATTTTGCGGGCGACCTTGGCTAGTTGAGGGAGGGATCCAGCACTGGTTTTCCAAAATCCTAGTACGTCTTCCTGTGGACTTTTTCTCATTGAGCCCAGGTACTCCTCCATCTGACCTCTGGAGGTGTCAGCTACACTCGAGTTACTCTCATATGAGCCGAAAATGCGCACCTTCTTGGGAACACTTCTGGCCTCAGTGACTGTGTCTACACCACTGCATTCTGCCTCCTTCACCAACATTTCGCGAATCTCTGCGAGTCGATTGCTCACTGTACCATCTCTAATAATCCATTCTGTTTTGAAACGTGGATCTAATACAGCCGCCAACACAAGGTGCTTGTCAGAATAGAATCTGTTAAAACGAGTAGAGACATTAATTGACAGTGTCTCCGCAAACGCACGAATGGGTAGGGGGAGGGTCTCAGGCAGATTGGACAAAAGCCGTTTAATTTCCATAACAGCTGGAAGAATTATGCCCAGGTTTCCGAGCTCTTTTTGCATAGCATTAGTAAGTTCTGCCAGAGGCGATAGCACCTCAGTCAGGGCTTGGAGCTGAAGTACGTCATTCATGGTCAGCTTACTGTTCTCAGGAATGTTCAGCTTATTTTGAAATTGCGAGTCTCTTTCAAACATTTTAATTACAGATTCAATCATGCGCAGCTGACTGCTCCATCTGGTGACACATGCTTGAGTGGGACGCACACCCAGTTTATCAGCTTCCTCTGTGTTTAGGGTGCTCTTCCTTACAGCTTTTACAAGTTTTGCCGTTCGTGTGATGACATCGCCCACATCGGCATGGCTGTTTATTACATCCTTTAGGGCGAGCTGCAGTAAATGGATAGGGCATCGCATATGGAGATTGTTTTCGGTGATATATGTGGCGGTCACGTTCTGCATGATCTGCAAAAAATTGGGCTGGAATGGGGAAGGCTGATTATCCTCTGTGTCACCTTCCTCTGGGTCCTCTCCCTCCTCTTCTACTGCACTTTCCTCAAACCCTGGGAGGTTGAAAGCCTTTATCATGTTACTGGCGCTGTCGGTCACCACCCTGACAACGCGTCGTTGTAAATTCCAGTGTTGTAAAACACCTTCATATTTCTGAAAAATATTCTCAGCTGTGTGGTGTCCTTTAAGATGTTCACAGGACAGCAACACAGTGTGACCATTGAACACTTCATCAACGAAACTTGCCACAACACCCAGAAAGCTGTGACCTCTTCTGTTTGTCCATATGTCTAGCGTAAGCGCGAAGCCATCTCCTAACTGCAACAGCTCCCTAAGTCTGCCTTCCATCTCACAAAGAGCATTTGGCATCAGTGTATCACGCACTGTATTGTAGCATGGAGTGGTGTACCCGGGCTGGGCAACGCTGACAAAATGACGCATGCCCTCTCGTTCACCTTTTGTCAGAGGTTCATAATCCAAGTAAACCATCTTAAAAAATGCGTCATCTAATTCTTTCTTCCGTGCATTTGACACGGAGAACTGGGGACGCTGGAGAGGGAAAAACATATTTATCTCCCTTTGGCCGGTTGCAGATTTTTCTGTAAAGAAAAAAATTTGCGTGCGTTATATTAGATTATAAATTACTGTTGCCCATATCTAGCCTTCATTCTGTAGGTCTACCTATTGGTTCGGGTCAGTTTTTAAAAAAAAATATATTTTAATAGGCCTAAGTGTCTAAACAAGAGAACGAATACTTAATTCGTTGCCATAATTTTGACTAAACGAAAAAAATAATTCTTAATTCGTGGCCATAATATAGCCCTAGCATAAAAGAGAACTAGCCTATTCTAAATTCATGGCTGGGATTTTGTCTGCATGTCATGATCGGAGCTCCGTACAACCGAATATAACCTTAGCCTAGCTGTTTATTCATTTATTATGGTATGTAGGTCTAACTAGCTCACCTTTTGCTGCACCATGTTTGCGTAGCACATCCTCGTGCTTTCTGGCAATGTGCCGCTTCAGATTCCAATATGAATCTTTGCTAACTTTAACAGTCTCCCCACACTCCCTCTCAGTTTCTTCTCCCTGCTCATTCTTAACTTTGATTTTTACTTTACATTTATGTATAAGGCTTGCAACTTCGTTGAAACAATATCTGAACTCCATAACTGCTCTACTATTCTTGATCGCTACAGATTCTCGATCTCGAACAAGCAAATCACCAAAGGGCATTCTGGGTTGAGCGAGCGGAACTGAGCGTTTTGAGCGAGCGGAGCGGAATCTTCAGAAAGGCGCTCTGCACTCTTAAGGAAATATTAGCTCCCCGCTCCGCTCCCACTCCGCTCCGCTCACATGCTCTGGTCGTAATCTATTTTTCTTGATTCATTATTTGAGACCACCAAAGCTCAAAACAGTTGAAACAGGTCTACCATTTTTATAGCCAAGAAAACTCGCTGAATTAAACCTATATGATATTGTGAAGTAATGTGAACAAAATGTAGCATACTTGTGTTTGAAGCATTTACTGTTACATTCTGCATTATGCTTCATGAACTGTTTACATGTACATTCAGACTGAAGAAACTATA